GTCCGGGGGGCCAAAAGGGAAAGGGAGGGGTTTAAAGTATCACCCAGTTTGAAAGGCTTGATTCTGGAGACATACAGTGGGGAAATGTATTTGATCCCCTGCTGATTCTGTACGTTTGCCCACTGACAAAGAAATGATCAGTCTATAATTTGAATGGTAGGTTTATTTGAACAGTGAAAGACAGAATAACAGCAAAAACCTCCAGAAAAAAATGTATGTCCAAAATGTTGATTAGCATTTTAATGAGGGAAATAAGTATTTGACCCCCTCTCAATCAGAAAGATGTCTGGCTCCCAGGTGTCTTTTATACAGGTAACGAGCTGAGATTAGGAGCACACTCATAAAGGGAATGCTCCTAATCTCAGCGTGTTACCTGTATAAAAGACACCGGTCCACAGAAGCAATCAATCAATCAGATTCCATACTCTCCGCCGTGGCCAAGACCAAAGACCTCTCCAAGGATGTCAGGGACAAAGATACTTATTTCCCTCATTAAAATGCAAATGAATTTATAACATTTTTGACATGAGTTTTTCTGGATTGTTTTGTTGTTATTCTGTCTCTCACTGTTCAAATAAACCTACCATTACAATTATAGACTGATCATGTCTTTGTCAGTGGGCAAACGTACAAAATCAGCAGGGGATCAAATACTTTTTCCCCTCACTGTATGCTCTGAATCTCAGCCACCCCTAAAAGCCGGAGTACACGTTCAAGGCATTCCAGAAAGTGTTTGTGGAGCTGGACTGCTCAAAGCTCACAGTCAAGATGACAGGCCTCAAGAACAAATGACTGTCTTAAGCAGAATGCCAGGCCAGAGGAAAATTGTCATAGACTGAATGTCAGGGTTACTTTGTAACACATTCGTAGTTAAACGCTGAGGTGCCTTTTGGAACTCTTCTCTCCCTTCATTTTTTCTGGTAGCAGGTCAGGAACGGTGTCCTCTACCACAGGCCCGCTTGTTGTTGGTGAAGCCGCCTGGGGCACAGAATCTGTGCTGGGACCAACCTCTGCCTACCGGGGGATGGTCACCGAGAGGCGGGGCTCGAGCACATTGCGGTCTGGGACCCCGTCCCCGATGGGCCCGTGGCGGTCATCTAGGCTAAAGAGGTTAGAGGGTAAGGAAGACACGTTTATTCTGCAAGGTGTGTTTTAAAGGGTCACTGCCACGGTATTTTCCATTGTGTTTTTGTATACAAGAGATACCAAATAGGTGTTTTTAATGAAGGATGTCATTGTAAAATGTAATCTCCATTTTGTTCCCATACAGTTGCGGTTTGAAATGTCCATTTTTGAATCCGTTGTACGTACCATTTTGAGGTTTCATCAAGGTACACACCTTTTACCACTTGTATTTTGACAATTCTACCATCAATCAATCAATCAATGAAGTGGATCTATAAAGCCCTTTTTACATCAACAGATGTCACAAAGTGCTATGCAGAAACCCAGCCTAAAACCCCAAACGGCAAGCGATGCAGATGTAGAAACGCGGTGGCTAGGAAAAACTCCCTAGAAAGGCACAAACCTAGAGAACAACCAGGCTCTGAGGGGTGCCCAGTGCCCTTCTGCCTGTGCCGGGTGGAGATTACAACAGTACGTGGCCATTAAGGGCACATTTCTCTCCAAGATGTTCAAACGTTCATAGAAGACCAGCAGGGTCAAATAATAAGCACAGTGGTTGTAAAGTTTGCAACAGGTCAGTCGGTACAGTCGGTACATCAGGAGTAAATGTCACTTGGCTTTTCACCGGTGGATTTGCGAGCGGTTTGCTTGGTTCTGGCCATGGCGCTGCTCTGACAGTCGGGAGTATAGCCTCGAAATGCCTATGTGAAGTTTATAAAGCAGGCAGTGGCGCCTGCTGATTGGACACCATCTCCTCACCACCCCGATTGGCCCGTTGCGCAGGCCTCCTCCGTTGGCCATTGGACGGGAGGCCCGGCCTCTCCAAAATTCAAACTCCCGGTGCACGCGCAATAGGACGCCGCCGGCCCTTTACGCGCAATAGGACGCCGCCGGCCCTTTATGCGCAATAGGACGCCGCCGGCCCTTTACGCGCAATAATAGTCGCCAAAGTCAAGAGTGACATCTTATAGGCACGTGTAATCTAATGCTAGCCTGCTATGGCAAACGAGGCCTAGTAGGTGTTGTTGTTCATGCAAGGCCTCATGTGGGCACAGAATGTCGAAATAGTTGTGTATACACCCACTCAATGTATTGCGGTCATAGAAAGGTACTTTGCGCTTTTGGAGAGCTAGGTGGTTGGCTCTTAAAAGAGCCTTTGGGGGTTGAGTAGTCAAGTTGAAGTCGCAGTAGCGATTTTACTTGGCTTTGACTGCCTTCTCGGTCTTCTTGGGGAGTAGCACTGCCTGGATGTTGGGCAGCACACCACCCTGAGCGATGGTCACACCGCCGAGCAGTTTGTTCAGCTCCTCGTCGTTACGGACGGCCAGCTGCAGGTGACGGGGGATGATACGAGTCTTCTTGTTGTCACGGGCAGCGTTGCCGGCCAACTCCAGGATCTCAGCAGTCAGGTACTCGAGCACGGCGGCCAGGTAGACTGGTGCGCCAGCGCCCACACGCTCGGCGTAGTTGCCTTTGCGCAGCAGCCTGTGCACACGGCCCACGGGGAACTGGAGGCCGGCACGGGATGAACGGGTCTTTGCCTTCGCCCTGGCCTTGCCTCCGGTTTTGCCTCTTCCGCTCATATTGGTAGCTTGAGAAAGTCACAGAAAGTCTGAATGAGCCGCTCGCCACTTCGAGAGCCGTACTTATACCTCGCCACAAGAGGCAACGATTGGCCACCGGGCCGGTGTGGCCTTATCCAATTGGAGCGAGGGACAGACAGACGGACAGACAGACAGCCCTAAGACGGTTCCCACCCACAGGCAGCGAGTGAGAGGCTACTTAGTTTCCCTCCGACTTTGTTACTTTGTGTCATTTCCCGTGAGCGCCAAAATGTCCGAAATGAAATCCTCACATTATTTCTCTCCAAATGGGAAACAAACAGCTGGTGAGGGTGCACTCTTGAGTTTGAAATCGAAGCCACTATAGTATTGGTATTGTTATTACATGGCACTTGTAACACATCACAGCAGCCTGCCTCTGAACGGGAATAGCCCAGTGGCTCATATATAAAAATGGCTGGTGAGGGTGCACTCGTGAGGTCGAATTTCTAAGCCATTTTGGCCCTCTATTATATGCCTCTCCCTTCGCACACACCCAGAGTGGGACAATGTTGTGTGCGTAAAAGTAGCCTAGTGTGCGTAATTTCTTTTTCACGACAGGTAGTACATGGAAATCAATGCGCTTTCTATGGAAAGAGGTGGGTGGCTCTTAAAATAGCCTTTTGTGGTACAACATGTGTCGAGTAGAACACTGTTTGTAATAGGTTTACTTCTTCTTGGGGGCTGCCTTCTTGGCCTTGGCTGCCTTGGGCTTGGCGGCTTTGGGCTTGGCTGCCTTTGTAGCCTTCTTGGGACTCTTGGCTGCCTTCTTGGCCGCTGCGGCGGGCTTCTTCACCTTCTTGGGGCTCTTGGCGGCCTTTTTGGGTGTAGCGGGCTTCTTGGCCTTCTTGGGGGACTTCTTTGCGGCGACGGCTTTCTTGGCTGCTACCTTCTTGGGCTTCTTCGCCGCGGCGGGCTTCTTGGGGGCCAACTTCTTTACTTTGGGGACTGTGGCTTTCTTGGCGGGCTTCTTCGCCTCGACGGCTTTCTTGTTGAGCTTGAAGGAGCCGGATGCACCGGTGCCCTTGGTCTGGACCAGGGTGCCCTTGGTGACGAGGCTCTTGACTGCGATCTTGACGCGGGAGTTGTTCTTCTCCACGTCGTAGCCGCCTGCCGCCAGCGTCTTCTTGAGCGCGGCCAGGGACACGCCGCTCCTCTCCTTGGAAACGGTCACAGCCTTGACGATGAGCTCGCCTACGCTGGGTCCCGCTTTCTTGGGCTTGGCTGCTGCCTTCTTCTTGGGTGCCTTGGCCGGCGCGGCGGCGGCGGGTGCTGGTGCGACTTCTGCCATGTCTGTCTGTCATTTGGTCCGGTACACACACACACACACACACACACACACACACACACACACACACACACACACACGGTCTGCGAGGAGTAGTTTGCTGTAGACGCTGCTCTGCGCTATTGAAGCTCCACACCGAGCAGGGGGCTGGCCTTAAACGCGACATGAGAACCATGTAGACTCAAGCCACCCAGCTCGGCTTCTCTGGGCTGGCCAAATGCTCTTTCACTTGTGTTTTCCGGTCGCCTATATCGGGCCAAAAGTCACCGACGGAGCCGTGTTTTTGGTCCAAAAGCGAACGGCCCAGCGAGCAGACTTGTCTCCGTTCAGAATAAAGTCATGTGGGCCGCGGAAGGGCCGTGCATTTTGTATTTGATCCCCTGCTGATTCTGTACGTTTGCCCACTGACAAAGAAATGATCAGTCTATAATTTGAATGGTAGGTTTATTTGAACAGTGAAAGACAGAATAACAGCAAAAACTTCCAGAAAAAAACGCATGTCCAAAATGTTATAAATTGATTAGCATTTTAATGAGGGAAATAAGTATTTGACCCCCTCTCAATCAGAAAGATGTCTGGCTCCCAGGTGTCTTTTATACAGGTAACGAGCTGAGATTAGGAGCACACTCATAAAGGGAATGCTCCTAATCTCAGCGTGTTACCTGTATAAAAGACACCGGTCCACAGAAGCAATCAATCAATCAGATTCCATACTCTCTGCCGTGGCCAAGACCAAAGACCTCTCCAAGGATGTCAGGGACAAGATACTTATTTCCCTCATTAAAATACAAATTAATTAATAACATTTTTGACATGCGTTTTTCTGGATTGTTTTGTTGTTATTCTGTCTCTCACTGTTCAAATAAACCTACCATTACAATTATAGACTGATCATGTCTTTGTCAGTGGGCAAACGTACAAAATCAGCAGGTGATCAAATACTTTTTCCCTTCACTGTATGCTCTGAATCTCAGCCACCCCTAAAAGCCGGAGTACACGTTCAAGGCATTCCAGAAAGTGTTTGTGGAGCTGGACTGCTCAAAGCTCACAGTCAAGATGACAGGCCTCAAGAACAAATGACTGTCTTAAGCAGAATGCCAGGCCAGAGGACAATTGTCATAGACTGAATGCCAGGGTTACATTGTAACACCTTCGTAGTTAAACGCTGAGGTGCCTTTTGGAACTTTTCTCTCCCTTCATTTTTTCTGGTAGCAGGTCAGGAACGGTGTCCTCTACCACAGGCCCGCTTGTTGTTGCTGAAGCCGCCTGGGGCACAGAATCTGTGCTGGGACCAACCTCTGCCTACCGGGGGATGGTCACCGAGAGGCGGGGCTCGAGCACATTGCGGTCTGGGACCCCGTCCCCGATGGGCCCGTGGCGGTCATCTAGGCTAAAGAGGTTAGAGGGTAAGGAAGACACGTTTATTCTGCAAGGTGTGTTTTAAAGGGTCACTGCCACGGTATTTTCCATTGTGTTTTTGTATACAAGAGATACCAAATAGGTGTTTTTAATGAAGGATGTCATTGTAAAATGTAATGTCCATTTTTGAATCCGTTGTACGTACCATTTTGAGGTTTCATCAAGGTACACACCTTTTACCACTGGTATTTTGACAATTCTACCATCAATCAATCAATCAATGAAGTGGATCTATAAAGCCCTTTTTACATCAACAGATGTCACAAAGTGCTATGCAGAAACCCAGCCTAAAACCCCAAACGGCAAGCGATGCAGATGTAGAAACACGGTGGCTAGGAAAAACTCCCTAGAAAGGCACAAACCTAGAGAACAACCAGGCTCTGAGGGGTGCCCAGTGCCCTTCTGCCTGTGCCGGGTGGAGATTACAACAGTACGTGGCCATTAAGGGCACATTTCTCTCCAAGATGTTCAAACGTTCATAGAAGACCAGCAGGGTCAAATAATAAGCACAGTGGTTGTAGAGGTTGCAACAGGTCAGTCGGTACAGTCGGTACATCAGGAGTAAACGTCACTTGGCTTTTCATAGGCCGCCATTTAGAGGTTGAAATAGCAGCAGGTGCGGTACAGATTTCTATTGGGAACTGTTGAAAAAAGGCGCACCTACAACATTAATGGGTTAAAGGAAAAATTACCAAAGTAATATAGGTGGCATCCATCAGCAGTGCTCGTGAACAGATAAATTTTATAGGAACAAACGAGTAAAAGTGTTTAGATTATTGGGGTTGTTCAATGTTTTGGCATTGTAGTTTGAAAAATATCCCACAGTGCAAACACGAGCTATTTGAGCCTCCATTTCCGTAGGTATCCATGGTTACTATGAGAATATTTTGTTCCCCGTGACGTCTATGGGGTTGAAGCTCCATTGTATCTCTCGTAAGTAATGGTTCTGCCCACAGAGATCCTATACTAGTTAGTGTTGTAGTTCCTATTTCTACGGTTTTGCCTACCTGCAGCAATCAGGATTTACCTGCAGTGTTGATTGCAAATCCGTAATTTCTCATCTCATAATAACAGATGTTTTGCAAACCGTTGATGTTTAAATAAATGGATTCCCGGTGTCCGGATACCTTTTCTCTTAAGGGATCTGATTGAGTGAATCCAAAGTAAAAATGTGAACATTTTTCTGACTTGGTCTAAATACATAATAGGATGAATCATTCAGGTAAAATAACACAATGTCTATTTGAGTTGAATCAACGTAATATAATCATTTTTTACCTCTATCATCTTTACTCTATGTATTGGACCACATCTAAACAACTTACTCAAGCTTATCTACTCATAAAAACAAGCAAAAAGATCTACTCAATAATATGACGTGTGCTTTTGTTGACTGTAATAGCTTGAGTACATTCCACAAAGTCATTTTTTACAGTGTATCTAAAGACACGTTTGTTGTGGTGATGCACTTTTTCTTTGACGTTGAACTTGCATTGAACAGACAAATCCATTTCGTTACAACCCTTTTGTAGTATGACTTAGGAATATTTGTTGATGATCCTAATGTCTATGCTTGAATAGTGATTGGTTGTTGGTGAAATATTCTATAAATATTGCTGAGAACCCATCGTTTCCTGCCCTTCTTTCACTATTGAGCAATTTTGAAACATTTGTTTTGCTATTGGATTCATAATGGTGACATGGGACAAGTAATTAGTGAAAACCAGAGTTCAGCAGTTGCCATTAAAGCGATCGAACCAAGTCATCCTAATAGGCTAGTATTAGCCTAAAGCAGGGTTTCCCAAACTCGGGGCACGTTTTGGGAGTTTTATAATAATAATAATAATATGCCATTTAGCAGACGCTTTTATCCAAAGCGACTTACAGTCATGCGTGCATACATTTTTGTGTATGGGTGGTCCCGGGGATCGAACCCACTACCTTGGCGTTACAAGCGCCGTGCTCTACCAGCTGAGCTACAGAGGACCAGTTTTTGCCCTAGCACTACACAGCTGCTTCAAATAATCAACTCATCATCATCAAGCTGGAGTATTAGAATCAGCTGTGGAGTGCTAGGGCAAAACCCCTTGGGGACCCCAGGACCGCGTTTGGGAAACGCTGGCCTAAAGAGCAAATACTGAAAGGGAATCACCATGATGTGCGCACACATGGGCTGTACCCACATTTAACCACAAGATGGACTCCGTGCTCCACTGTAAAGTTTTGGCCTCTGCATGAGTCTCTCAGCAGCACTGCAACATGGGACTTTCAAAGTAAGTTGGCATGCAATGTTTTTTCTGGACTGCATGCAAGGCTATTATTACACACAACTAATAGTGTCAATTATTCATCTGAACACAATTCTTGTTACTATTCGGCCTATATTATCACTCGTTTCTTTTCCCCCTCCTTTGTAAAGCATTTTACTGTGCTACTATAGTTCAAAGGAAGTGGATGATGCCAGAGTATATACACACACACACACAAACATTGAAGCTAGACTTCAGGCAACTAAAAGGTGCAATACGTAGATTTTAGACGTGTTAGTGAACAACATACATGGTGGCTAATGTAGAGGTGCGTGTATACATGGAACAATTGTGCCTTTTTGATGGAAATATGGAGGTGGCTCTTAAAAGAGCCTTTGGGGGATTTTCGAGTTCAGGTCATCCTCATTTATGCGCGCTCTCCACGAATACGGCGGGCCAGCTGGATGTCCTTGGGCATGATGGTCACCCGCTTGGCGTGGATGGCGCACAGGTTGGTGTCCTCGAACAGGCCGACCAGGTAAGCCTCGCTAGCCTCCTGCAGGGCCATCACGGCGGAGCTCTGGAAGCGCAGGTCGGTCTTGAAGTCCTGGGCGATTTCTCTCACCAGGCGCTGGAAGGGCAGCTTGCGGATGAGTAGCTCAGTGGACTTCTGGTAACGACGGATCTCTCTCAGAGCCACGGTGCCGGGCCTGTAACGGTGAGGCTTCTTCACACCGCCGGTGGCCGGGGCACTCTTGCGAGCAGCCTTAGTGGCGAGCTGCTTCCTGGGGGCTTTGCCACCGGTGGATTTGCGAGCGGTTTGCTTGGTTCTGGCCATGGCGCGTCTCTGCATTTCGAGGCTATACTCCCGACTGTCAGTGTGCTTTTGCCAGCGCGCAGTGTGTAGTTGTGTGCAGGCAGTGTACTATTGGCCTCGTTTGCGATAACAGGCTAGCATTAAAATATAACACAAGATTTCACTCTTGACTTTGACGACTATTATTGCGCGCAAAGGGCCAGCAGTGTGCTATTGTACGCACGCGCTTAGTGGACTATTGTTTTTGGCGCGCAGTGTATTGTGTTGGGCGCGCGGTCCTAAAAAAAAAAGAAGAAAAGCATCCCTTCCAGTAACCGACAGAGGAGTCCTCCGCAACGGGCCAATCGGGGTGGTGGGGAGATGGTGTCCAATCAGCAGATGCCACTGCCGGCTTTATACATTTCACATGGGCATTTCAAGGCTATACTCCGACTGTCAAAGAAGGAAGCAAGCGCCATGGCCAGAACCAAGCAAACCGCTCGCAAATCCACCCGTGGCAAAGCCTACAGGAAGCAGCTAGCCGCCAAGTCTGCGCGCAGGAGCGCCTCCCCGTTACGAGCTCTGCCAGCGCCTGGGGAGAAAAATCGCCCAGTTCTTCAAGATCGACCTGCGCTTCTAGAGCTCCGCCGTGATAGCCCTGCAGGAGGCTAGCGAGGCTTACCTGGTCGGTCTGTTCGAGGACACCAAACTGTGTGCCATCCACGCAAAGAGGGTGTCCATCGTGCCCTAGGACATCCTGATGGCCCACTGTATTCGCGGAGAGCGCGCGTAAATGATGACCTGATCTCCAAAATCCCACCTCCATATTTCCATCAAAAAGGCACAATTGCTCCATTTATACGCGCACCTCTACATTTCTCACCATGTATGTTGTTAACTAACCCGTCTTAAAGCTACGTATTGCACGTTTTACTTGCCTGAGGCGTTGAAATAAAACGCATAAATCCAAAGGGATTATCTACAATAGTCAAAGACGCGCGGCAGGCTGAAATACTCCAACCAAATAATTGGCCAAATCAGGAAGGACAAAGGAAGACTCGGTGCATGCGTTGCTTTATTCAGCACAGTTGAATGGACAGCGCTTCTGCTTCATCTCCACTCACGAGACGGGTAATAGAGGAGCTCCGTGGTGCTGAAATGTACAAAGTTGTCCACTATCGGTATATCTATTTATTATGGCCATCGAAATGTTAGCTATTCAAATCAGATCCAACAATTATATCAAGGGATTAGAAATCCAAGGTTTAAAAACAAACGTGTCATTGTACTCAGAGGATCTAGATACATTTTCTAACCTCTCTGGAATACAACCACATTATGATAAATGTACTATATAAGGTATTGACCCTCCTGTAGCTCAGTTGGTAGAGCATGGCGCTTGCAACGCAAGGGTTGTGGGTTCGATTCCCACGGGGGCCAGAATGAAAAATGTATGCACTCTGGATAAGAGCGTCTGCTAAATGACTAAACTGTAAATTGGATCACTGACAATACAACTTGTAGTTTACCAATAAAATGGTCTCACTCTATTAAATGTTAATAGAAAGTTAGCAAAAAAGTATAAGATCTTGCTACCAATGAAAGGTAAAAATACCTGTCTATTTGTGGAAAAAAACTAATAGAAAAAATATATATATTTATTGATATTGTATAGCCTTACTTGTTGATATCTCAGACGACCAGAACCTTAATAATAATCACCATACTTACTTCACAAAGCACGGACATATAGTAGACTACTGACACTCACTCCTATGGAATGGGTATGGGGACTGGACACGCCAGGACCCAGACCCTACTGTTGTCGATCACACATATTAATGTCGCGTTCAGGGTGCTATCAGAGTTATCGGAAATACCTAGTTCCGACTGGGAAGTTTCACTTGAATGACCCTCCAAGTTCGAATTACAAGTGAGAAATTGTGAAAATGTTGTTGCCAATCTTATTGGTTTAAGAATTGTTCCGACTTCAAAACCACTTTAACACAATCATGTCGGAGTTACAACTTCCCATTTTCCACGAGAATGTGAAGTTGGCATAATACAGCATTCAAGTGCTAGTCGGTACTTGGAAACGGACATTTCTGACTTGCTAACTGGTTGAACGTGTTACAACAAGTATATAATATGATTGACATAACCATAATAGAAAGGCCTTGGAAGTGCCATAAGTGAAAGCCGACATTTCATTATTTTACATTAACCTCTTTAACATGTATTAAATGAATTATGAAGAAAATTGTGTAATTTAGACTCTACGAAATATGAAATGCATTATGAAGAAAATTGTGTACTGTTGCCTACACGAAAAAGGGGCCTTTCTGACCAAAAGTGCACCAGTATCCCAAAGTATTAAAGTATTAATCAAAATCAAGCATAGAAAACAGCGTTAACATTAATAAGGGTGGCAGGTAGCTTAGTGGGTAAGAGCGTTGTGCCAGTAACCGAAAGGTCGCTGGTTCTAGTCCCTGGGCCGACTAGGTGAAAAATCTGTCGATGTGCCCTTAAGCAAGGCACTTAACCTTAAATGCTCCTGTAAGTCGCTCTGGATAAGAGCGTCTGCTAAAATGTAATAAAACAATTTTTCCCACGAATTAAGTTGCACGTAAATGTGTGTATTTTATCACAAATTATGTTCAGAAAATCTCAAACAGTACATAGGCATACAACTACAATGTTTGAAACATTATTAAATAAAGACAACATTTCTGTATGTTCACAACTATAATACAGAAAATAAAGAAAAATAGGCTATCCGTTTATGGTTGTTGTGTGTAGCCTACTGGTTAAATTGGTGTCTTTTCGCACGAATTAAGTAGCACATAAATTCGTGTCTTTTCACACAGAAACGCACGAAATCTGCTGAAATACATTACGCTACCTGTGGCTTTCTCGAGCACGGTTATGTGTCAGACATTTGAACGGCTATGGATAGCGGAAAGCAAACCCCGTATTGAGTCAATACTGTCATCTATTGGTAAACATAATCCTTAACGTAAATATCCCAGGTTAGTACACAACGATTTTCCTTGCATGTTTTGCTAGGTCCTGCAGGACATCACCCCCTTCATCTTCCTGGAATAAAAAAATCACACACAAACACAGACATTCTTTCAATGTTGGGAACACATTTTACATGAACATTTAAATCAAGATGGATTACGAGATGCCCAGGCTGATGCGCAAAGGCAACTATGCCGAGCGTGTGGGCGCTGTCGCACCAGTCTACCTGGCTGCCGTGCTCGAGTGCCTGACTGCTGAGATCCTGGAGTTGGCCGGAGACATTGCCCGTGCAAACAAGAAGCCTCACATCACACTGATTAACTCTATAGTATTATCCCAGTTTACGGTCTTGCCTACACCTAGCGAACAGTTTTTTAATTGATATGAAAAATAAATATTCCATTTGATTTGGAACAGCAAGCCAGACAAAATTAAACGGGCCTATTTATAAAATGAATATCAATAGAGAGGACAGAATTGATTAAATATTTTAAGCTTGGACCTACCACTAAAAGCTTCAGTCATACAAAAGTTATACCTAAATCCGAACTGGTTCTCTAGAAATGTGTAAGACTGTCTCACCACGTTCAATAAATGGCATTTTCCCCTTTATTCATATTACAACCTCTCACTTTCAGTTATTTGAAATGAAATCAATTCTCAAATATCACTATATCTAAAACAAGCCATATAAAGTTGGATGCAATTTCAATTTAATCATCCAGAAACGACAGAACAAACTCAAATACACTAATAGAAAAATACATATATGTCTTGATATTGTATAGCCTACTTGTTGGTATCTCAGACGACCAGAACCTTAATAATAATCACCATACTTACTTCACAAACAATAATTATACTAGCTGCCTGCACATAGCACAGACATATACACTGTAAACCCGAATAAGTAAGCAGAACTTTAAGAAAGTGAGGCAATCAGTTGCCACAGTTTTTTTGAGTTCATAAACTCAAACATTTGAGTATATCATTGCTTATATATTTGGAGTTCATGTTAAATGTAATTTTAAATTATAATTCAATTAAATTTACTGATTAAGCCAACTCAAACATTTTCAGTTTATGCTACTCAGAATATTTATTCATCTTTCTCATTGCAATATCTCAAGAGAACTTAATAATTTCAAGCATGAAAATGAAACATAAATATCCTGAGTTAACTTAACATTTATTCGTTTTTTCAATCAATCTTCTGATTACTCATAACTCAAAAACATAGACTTGTTACAACTCAAAATAATTTACCACCAAACTTAAAATATTTGTGGCAACTGATTGCCTTAAAAATAATAAGTACTCTTGACTTAAAGGTCAAACAAAAAAACATAATCTATTCATATGTTTAGTATAATCTTTCCTTGCCCAGTCTTTTAGCAAAAAAATATTAAATAAAAAAACATAAATAAAAAATAACAATTAACAAGTCGACTTCTGGGCATTTTGTTTATACTTTAAGATGAACTATGTAATAGTAGAACATATTCAAACTCAGAAAAGCTAAAATTACATTAAGAAAATATCATTATATCACAAATAGCTTATAAACTGTTAATACAACATTACCAGGAGGGCATCAGCAAGTCTTGGGTGGTGACCAAACATTTGTTTAGAAAGATTATTTGCCCACACCTGTGCCTTTTAGCACAAAATGAAACAATCTATTTAATAATAATAGTAATATAACAATAATAGTAATACAAATAATTAAGAATTAAAAAGAGAATTAAATAAACAATTACAAAGGCACACTTTTGGCCATCTGGTTGTAAACTTGCAGTGCAGCAATGTATAAACAAATTGCTTGTAAATTCTTCACAACTAAAACTGCTAAAATTTCTAAACGGTACATTAACATGTACAAAGGCAGTGTTTAGCCTTCCTTTGGCTATCTGGTTAAAATCTAGCAACTTCAGGGTGCACTGTATAGTTTTAGAAAATTAATTCAAACTCGAAAAGCAAAATTAACAATATTAATAAGACAATACAAATTATTTTATCCATTTCCATAACTGAATAAACATCCCATCCTCAGAAGAAAATAAAGTCCCTATAACACTGTTTCCAACTAGAAAGGTGGCTACTTTACTAAAGTAAAGTAGCCTGAAACTTTGAGGACAGTTTATTTATTTATGAAAATGTATCAATGAAGAGCTTTCCTTTCTGATAAAAATGTACTTCCCAAAGCTATATAGTACACCTTTTAAAAACAAAATGCCATAGTGTATAAATATGGAGGATATATTTATTCATAATTCAAATTGAAAGTCCAAAGAGAAAACGAAGCAAGATCAAATTAATAGTATTATTTTACTACGCTACTAGGAAAAATCATGCCATAATTAAATGTATGATGTAAAAGCTTAAAATGGAAATACTTCAATTAAAATCTAAAATATAATTGTTTTATTTTAGCCTTTCCCCTTTATAATTTTCAATTTGCCATTTTATCTTTTGAATTTTACGTTTTACATTTGACATTGACATTTTCAGATTCACCTTTTACATTTTGATTTAAGCTTTTCATTTAGAAGTGACAGGTGTCAATTTAAATGAGGAGGCATGGCCCAACGGCTGGTGGGAGGGTCTGAAACGACTTCCAGCTGACAGTTGAAGCTTTGCATTTTAAATTTGACTTTTTAAATTTAATTATGGCATGATTTTTCCTAGTAGTGTAGTAAAATAATAATATGTTTTATTTGATCTCGC